TGTGTCTTCTATTCTGTGAGAGTAAAGATTCTCAAAGTAGCTATTGATAATCTTCTGAATTACACCCTTTTCATTCCTTATTGCTTTTATTTGAATTATTTCTTTCCTCTTTTTGATGAGGTTAGCTAGGGGCTTATTGATTTTATTTAATCTTTCAAAGAACCAGCTTTTTGCTTTTTTAATTCTTTGAATTGTTTTCTTTGTCTCAATTGAATAAAAATATGGACTGCTTTACGAATTTGCGTGTCATCCTTGCGTAGGGGCCATGCTAATCTTCTCTGTATCGTTCCAATTTTAGTATATGTGCTGCTGAAGCGAGCACCCCTCTGAGATTTTCAACATAAGTGCACTAAGATTTGCCTTATTCTTTTTCAGCTGCACTATATTCTATTACAAACCTTGCTTTATATTCTCTACTATGAGTACACACAAATATATCCGTACGAGTGAAACTGCAAGGCCAAAGGGTGCCTAGGTTTACTGGGCAACATACCACCAAAATGTTCCTCAAAGATATTGTCCCAACTTACATGCCTATAAGTAGATTCTGACAGCACATTCCCCTCTTGCTATCATACTGTTTCTTTTATGTTTGCCAATCTATTAAGTAAAAATTTGTATCTTATTTTACTGTGTTTGATTATAAGCTGAGCATCTTTTAATGTAAGTAATTTTTTCCCTATAGATTAACTTTACTGTGCATGCCTAGTATTCTTTCTCACTGACTGGACTTTTACTTAAATTTAATTGATATATTAAGAAACTTCACCTTTTCTCATACTCATCCCTTGTCTGCTTTTCAAAATTATACTTTTCCCCAACGTTTTGTCTGCTTTCCTTATAGACCTCTTCTTCCACCACTGTCACTCACTTTGTTGTTGCTATTGTTTTGAGACAGGTTTCCCTAAGTAGTTCAGGCTGGCCTTGAACTCACAGTGATTCTTTCGCCTCAGCCTCCTGAGTGCTGGAACGACAGGTGTGTGTGACCATGCCTTGCTGGGAAATCTGTGACTTTCATATACTATATTTATTAGTTTTCTGGCTTCTTAGAAAATCTTTTTATACTTTAGATTAGAAAAAAAATCTAATACTTTCTTCTAATTCCTTTGAAGTTTCTATGCCAGTTGTTCCAAATCATAAATTAAGCGATCAGTATTTTCTCCATTAATTCAATGCCAACGTTACTATATATGAATTCGAGAGTTATCAGTCTGTCCATAAGCCAGAGCCAAAGTTATCTTAAGTACAACTACTTCACATAAAAAAAAAAA